GCAGGTGACATCGGTGGATCGTTCTGCTAGAAATGCCCAGTTTGTAGCATTTATAAATTTGATTAGAATGCCGTAATCCTTAATGAGCTGACCCTCCTCTGTGTTTTCTGAGGAATACTCTGCATAACAGATCTAATTGAACATGAGCGTTGCATGGTCGCTACGGCCTAAAGGACTCTCTATCGATACCGTTTCAATCATAAGCTCTTCATTGGTGAATACGAGATCCAGGATACCCAGTTTGTTTTCCGTCCTGAATCTTGTGGGAGATGTGATGTGATTGTAGAGTGGTAGTCCACTAATTATCTCATGTACTTCCATTTTGAAGTGTTCGTTGATACACACTGGGGTTTCTATTGTATGAATATTGAAGTCATCAATTAGGAGAATGTGACTGTACGACTGTGTGAGTATAGTCTTCATTGTGGAGGCTAGGCGGTTGTCCATTTCCAAAGTAGCCGACGGAAGGCGATACATCACACCCAACAAACCTACGTCCCCACGGCTTAGGGGAAGACGACACCAAAGCGCATCGACAATCCGAACTTTTGGGTCATCGATGAGATCAAGGTGTAGTTCGCTGCGATAATAAAGTAGTACTCCACCTCCTCTACTTGGTCGATCGTTGCGTAGAATAGACATCTCAGGTAGTGCGATTTCTGCATCAGTGATCGCTTCATTCAACCAGGTCTCGGTTATCATAACGAGGTCACTTGACATCGAGGCATGACGCAAGCGAAGCTCCGTCAGTTTGCTTAAAATATTTTGTGCGTTGGTATACAAACAGGAGAGTGATTCATAGGTCAGAAGGTTGTTTGTGGATGTAGACAACAGCTTTGAGACTTGGCCGACCCTCTTGAGGTCGGCTGCTACTAGTTTTTTGAATACTCTTAGGTCCGGGAGAATGGCTTGGAATAACTCTCTGCACCATGCAATCAGGTTCATGATTATCCTGATGGTCACTCACCTCCTGCGGCGTCTCGCCGGATGCTATGACGGCTGTCAGATAAGTCTCTGTGATGGACTCGGCAATAACGGTTGTTCCCACTGTGTTGGTCCTCTTTCTTGAGTAACTAGAAGCCCCTGGTCGTAAACATGCTGCTTTACTTGAATTCCTGTTGGTAGCATGTTCCGGAAGTTACCCCAGTTCTCTAGAAGTGTCTGTAAAGTTAGCTTAGACGGTAAGGCCAACATCAGCAACCTTGGACCACACTCTCTGTAATCCTTGGAATTCTTGTCAGGGAGGTAGCAGTGACATTTTCCAAAGACAGCGCCTCACGAATGTATCGCCATTGCTCCAGATCATGTGGCTGAGCCTCTTCAGGAGATGAAGCTTGAGACTCGGGGACGCCATGAATAATGACAGTTTTCAGCTCGTGTTTTCGACTTCCCCGTTGATTGTTCATATCCCTTGAACGTTCTTTCCACGGAATATCCGGTAAGATACATACTCCGTTCGATACTCTGTGGTGTCGATTCGCAGCGAACACAATAGATTCCGTTTCGTCCTCGGAATTTAGTGTTACTCGAAGTAATCGAGGCTCACCATAGTGTAAGGAGTTTGGGTGTCGTGCGATACGTCTCAGCGCAGTGGGTTCAGCGCGCATTTTGATGGCACTATGGATGGAATCCCACTGATTACGACCGTCTATCAATTTATCCCTTATTGTGTTGGATTTGGATTCAGGAACGTTAGTGCCCACAAGACTTAAGGAACCATGATTCCGCCTTGTGGTTCGCGACTTAAGAGCACTAGTTTCCTTTGTTGTTAGTAGATTTGCGGATCGCCCTGGCAATAGCGACCCATGTTGAGGCGAGGTTTTGCCCTCTTCGGTAATTGGAGTCGCAGGTGCCTTTGACGGCGTGTTATTAGAAGCAACCGCTGCGTAGGATGTCCAGTTATTCTTTACCGTGGGCTTGCTGGAGTTTTGTGTGTCGAGTATGTCAACTGAATTACTAGTTATCACACCCTTGGAGAACGTAGAGTCAGGTGGGTTGTAAACGACTTTTTCACTTAGTGGAGTCATGTGGCTAGGGGCCTTTGGAGACTGAGTCGCCGTGGTGAGGCTGGGACGTCTGGCCCACTTCTTCGGCCTAAACGGGGAGTTTGTAGGTGTACGTCCAGATGCAAGTGTGGCATTGATTACTTTCACAGATGCGTTGCTAGCATTCACCAGTTGCTCAAGTGTTTCCGTCAACTTTTCACAATTTTTCATTAGGAAAATTACACAATTAACAACAGGGATGAATTTGCGCACCTAGCAGAACCAAAATGCGTCGATTTTGCTGCTGTATTGTCTAGTTTCGAGTGCATTCATCCCTATACACTTCGAATGGTACGCTTTTTGACAGTTAAAGCAAAGTGGACCTGACTTAGCGGTTTTTACACGTAGGTCACAATTGACTTTCGAATGGACCATATCCACTTGGGGCATGCACTTTGTTATTGTGACTTGCACCAATTCGAAAAGGGCTTAGATAGTAAAGGAGAGTTCAGAATTTATGTTGTAGATCTCTCACTTAGCACTAGGTTAGCATGGAATAATTCTACTGCTATATGTGGTCACGGTCAGTAATGGGGCAGCGAAGTGGGAATGACCTCAGATGATGGTGATATGGTGTAAAGATTCCACAATAACAAGATGGAGTTGAGTAACTGGATGTGCATACTACAACGGGGGTAGCGAGTCGTCGGCTCTTGATCGATGGGCAAGTGACGTTTGAAATTGACCTCTTCGCTTCATATCATGTGACCTTCGGTGGTTCGTTCTTCAGCTGTCGCTGCTTCCTCTCTTTTGTTATTATTTCTGATCCGTCCAATTTCTGTCTTTCTCAATGGTTGGTACACCGGGTCCAGGCCTATGCACAGGCTTATGGAGTGTTCCGCAGTAAATCACGCTTCACTGGATTCTCTGCTTTTGCTCGTTTCTACCCGCACAAGAATGTTGGTTTTATCCCAGTCAAACCTGTGCCCCTCCTCATCAACATATGCCGAGACCAGAGATGATGCGTAGTGGTTACGACAAGTTCGCTTGTGCTCTTGTATTCTTGTAACCCTTTTCCTCACTGTTTGATCCACTTAGTTATTCTCGCAGTGTTTGCATTTTATCCTGTAAACAACATTACTGCGTTCGTGTACCATCAATTTATCTCTCGGTTTAGACAAAGTCCCCTTAAGTGTGGCGGTTGGTATGTGGGCAACCAACAGATGATACGGTCTGAGAAATCTGGTCTTCATTTCTGATACCTTTTTGACACAAGGCAAAGCGATCCGTTTCTTCATTGTTAGTTCAGGCGTGGTACTATCAGCTCTGTAGTTCAAGTGTCTTCGGATGAAACTGCGCGGGTATCCATTGCGTATGAAGGACGTAAACAACAACGAACCACCGAAGGTCACATGATATGAAGCGAAGAGGCCAATTTCAAACGCCACTTGCCCCTTGATCAAGAGCCGACGACGCACTCAACGGGTTTGCACGCAAAACAGTGAGGCACTGAGGATGTTACCTCGGCTGGTGATGAAACGCGTGCAGCACAATAGCTCAGCTCGGAGAACAAACGATAAGCAGGACAGTCAACCCGAGCTACAAGTATTCCGATTTATCTCAAAGTTAAGCCAACAGTTTTAACGGAGTCAGTAAGTCAGATCGATGCCTAGGTCGATTCACTTAAGGTAGGCCTCGCAGCCGATTATACGGCGCCTAGGGTAGGCGTTGCAGCCGATAGTAAGCAGTTAGTGAAAGACCTTGAAGAACAACGCTTGCGTGTGAATCTTTGTTACCAACTTGGCACAACTTTTACAGAGACATTTAAGTTGCTTAGTCAAGCATACGGGGAGGATTGTATGAGTCGCATGCAGTGATATGAGTGGTTTAAGTACTTTGAACTCAGTAGAATATCGGTCGATGACCATCACAAGACTGGACGACTTTCCACAACAACAGCCAATGATCATATAGAGTAAGTTCTTGCTATGATCGGTGGAAATCGACGTTGAACTGTTCGACCATCTGTTGGCGAAGTGGACATAAGCGTAGGTCCATGGTAACAAATTCTAGCGTGTTTGTAGGATTTGGTACGCAGGAACATATTAGAACTGTGGGAAAACGAGACTTGGATTTTGAATCATGGCAATGCGCCGGCTAAAGCATCGCTCCCTATCCGCAACTGTCTAGCAAAACATCACACTCCCGTTGTGCCACATCCACTGCATTCTCCGGCCCTAGCCCCTGCAGACTTTTTCCTGTTTCTCAAACTTAAAAGCAGGTTGAAAGGAAATCGTTTCCAAAGCGTAGAGGATATACAGAACAATGCAACAAGAGACCTGCGCGCCATTCCAGAAAGTGCGTTCTAAGAGGCTTTCCAAAATGGAAGCACCGTTGGGAATGGCGTATAGTCACTAGAGGGGAGTACTTTGAGAGGGAACCTGTTTAATATCTTGTGCAGTGTGTAATAAAGATGGTATAGCCAAACTTCGATTTCTTGTTGAACACCCCTCGTATTGTCGCTGAACTTGTAGGTGAAAGCTGAGTTGGTGGAGGGAAAATTAACGTAAACGACTCAGAAACGGTGCAGAACATATGACAGTAGAAACGATCGGGAGTTCGCCTAAAGGAAGCTTAGGGTTTCGTTGAGTGGGCTGAGTAGGATCGATAGAAACCAAAGGCAAAGGCCCTTTGCTGAATTTGCATGGTCGCAGTACATTGTTGGGTAAAGAATGGGATGAATGAGGAGGTTAAGACTGGCGATGAGAGAGATGTGAGCGGGACATTTATCAAACACATTTCGGTTGCAAAGTACAGCTGAAAACACAGTTGCACGACTGAGCAAAAGAGAACACGACACCTTTTCTCCTTATCCCCTACTGCACAAAACCACAAGATGCGACTGCGTGGGTGTAGCCAGTGATATTGAAAGTCTCACCTTTTTCGACCCCTCTTTAGAGCACCCTGTTTGAGCTGGGTAAATGTTGTCGATACTTTTCCTCCCACTCTCCTTAGGACAAGCAAACAAGTGGATTAAGAACATGGAGAAGGATAACAAGTTGGGTGTGATCAAGCTCAGCGATTCAAACTATTTGCGTACTTTGGAAAACTCCATTCAGTTTGGTATGCCAGTGTTGATGGAAAATGTCGGCGAACAGTTGGATCCCATTTTGGAACCGATCTTACAGCGACTTGTGTACAAATCTCAGGGCGCCTATTACATGCGTCTTGGGGACAGTGTGATCGAGTACAATACAAATTTCCGTTTCTACATCACTACACGCTTGCGCAACCCACACTATTTACCGGAAATTTCCGTTAAAGTATGTCTGATCAATTTTGTCATTACGCCCTTGGGACTGGAGGATCAGTTGCTAGGCATCGTTACAGCTGAAGAGAAACCTGAATTGGAGGCCACCAAGAATGAGTTGATCGTGACATCAGCTGATAACAAGCGACAACTAAAAGAATTAGAGGATAAAATCTTGGAAGTCTTGAGTGCCTCACAAGGCAATATTTTGGAGAATGAGACCGCGATCAATGTGTTGAGCTCGTCGAAGAAACTGAGTGAAGAAATTACCGAAAAGCAAATTGTTGCCGAGTCTACCCAACTGGAAATTGACGAGGCTCGAAACGGTTACCGGCCAGTAGCACAGCACGGATCTTTGCTATTCTTTTGCATTTCCGATTTGTCCAACATCGATCCGATGTACCAATATTCGTTGACGTGGTTCATAAATCTCTTTTTATCGGTAAGTATGCGCATTGAGAGATGAAGTATACGAATTACCTTGTCTATAATCTCACCTATCCGCGTTTTCCGTGATTGCCGTGAACAGGGTAACCGTCCTGTTCAGATTTCGACTAATCCAGGTACAACTTTGATAGTTCCCTATTGGAGGGAACTGTTTGGAATATGGCATTCCTGGGAACCCATTTTGTGTGAAGTGGACGAAAGTTTCACTGTGCTCCATGCTAACTGGGAGACACTTACTCTTAGGCCTCATTGACGTATGTGGTGGTTGTTTCTGTAATGCCCCGCTCACTGTTTTCTGCGCTGAAGGTGCGTTGTGCTTTGGACCTTCGCTCCGATGCAGAACTTATGCATTTTTCTCCCTTTTGGTTATCCACTGGAACCAATCCGGTTCTAGCTCACTTAATGTTACAATGGCTATACTGCTGATATCCTCATGCATTTCTCACTCCGTAATGTTTTAGGGCTGAGAGTTAGCACCGGCAATGGGTGTCACCGGTCTGAAAGAGGCGAGTTAATTTGGATTTGCATTTACTTTGCGATGACGCGGTAGTATGGAAACATTTGCACAGCGCTTGCATGTTTTAGCGCCGCCTGAACACGCCGTGCGGCAGCCTTTATATGAATACCGCTTATGTCGTGTTGTCGGTCAGGTTCTAATCTATGTTTGAAGATTACACTCTAAAGCATCACAAATTTGTCTTCCGGAAATTTCCATGGTTGTATCCGTTCCTGCCTTGCCCGTTAGACGGGCGCCCCGCCCGACTGGAAATCTGTGCCCCTTTTGGCCTTGATACGATATCCTCAACATTAGTTAATCCATTCGTACAAAGAACAGAAAAAGCATACTAGACATGTAACAAGAGTCGCTGAGGATATCCGGGGGTAGCATATTTCATTAATTCTTGACCAGTCAGGTGTGTACGAGGCCTGGGTTAATCGCGGTCAATCATAGGTCTCTGATGATTTACTTCATTTTACACATAGGCTTCCTGGACGTGTACCTCAACTTGTTTAGCTATTGAGATGCTTTCAACAGAGCAAGAAGAAACCCCATTTTAACAGAATATACTAAATTCAGTAATTTCGCGTATTTTCCTCAGCTGTTTACGAAACAATTTGTGGGAAAGACGGGTTAGATAGCAATGGCAAACAAAGTGCAATGTTATCGGCGAAAGTTAAAGCGATCGAAAGTCGGTGAGTTCACATGATAAGATCAAGGGAAATTTTGCCATGTAGCCTGTCTTTTTCGCAAATTGTTTTGAACGCAGCTGAGAAGAATACGCGAAATTACTTAATTCAGTATATGCTGTTAAAAGGGGGTTTCTTCTTGCGCTGTGGAAATTCGTGTAAGGAAAAGCTTTTATGAAATTGACATCTTTGTTAGCACAGCTGATTCATAAACATCGTTACAGGTCATGCTGCTTTAAGTGAGTAGGTTTTTGATTGCTTCAGAGTGAAGCGATTAAATTTGCCGAAAATAGACCTGATGGTTACCATATCAAGATGGGACACGATAGGCAGCATTAATTTGAAGTCAGCTGGGCTGACGGCTTCGATGTTAATTGTCTCGCTTTTCGAAAGAATATGTCATCCGTAGGATGACGCTCAGATTTCAGTCGAACATAGTTTCTTATATACGTCAAATAAGCAGGCGCTTCCGTGAACCCTGAGCTAATTTTGTGAACCACTTTCATTTTGAGTCTGTATTCATACTATTGTGCGTCTACATCTGACATATGAGGACGATTATGAAGACAGTCACCACATAGGTGTTTACTTTTTCGCATATGAAACACAGTTTCACACACGAGTATCGTTGTTTGTACTTCGCACACCCGAGCGTTTGGCGCAGTCGATAGGGTTTTGCAGGTTTACGGCGATATTCTGACACTGTTTTCATGTGCCTCTTCCTCCTCTCGTAGTCAATCATGAACAGCGAGAAGTCACAAGTGTTGGAGGAACGAATCGAAATTCTCAACAACTACTTCACCACCAGTGTATATCGGAACATTTGTCGATCACTGTTTGAAAACCACAAGCTACTGTTCTCCTTATTGATGTGTTATTCCCTGATGAAAAGCAAGTGAGCACGCGTACATCTCGTTTGCACTTTTGCTTACTGTCACGCACTAGGTTGGTTCCAGTTGATGTCACTCTGTAAAAGGAAAATATTTACCGAATCTCGAAAACCTGAACAATATCGTCCGACATTTAGTATCTCTGCAGTGCATACATTACGAATTCGTCTGACTAGGATCACTTCTATAGTGTGTGTAGCAAACTTACTGAGTCCGGCACCCAGTCATCTGGTGTGTAGTACATGATATGCCATCGATAAATATCTGGTTTTGAACCCGCTTTTCAGTCCAATAGATGCTGGGTCACCAGTTCTAGTGAGATTAAATAAGTTCCTAGATTTACTTGGGAAGCTCATAGAACCTTATGTAGATCATCGGTTTACTAGATCCAGCGTTTCCAGCATGAACTCGCCTGCACTCCTCATGCAGCATGGCTATCGATTCTGAAGATAAACGCCTGCTAGACCTACATAACACCGGTCTCACATTTCAGGTACCTAGATGTCAGCCACAGCGAAGGCCGTTCTCTGTAGACCGTCAGTCAGCCAGTAATTGGAGATACTTTGCTGTCCGCATGACCTGACCACTGTGTCCTGAGATGCGTAAGTTTCTGAAGCGCCACCCTACGAGACGCTGCTTGGATTGTGGGATATCAAATGTGTGTTAGGCAAAACTACTGGCTGCACCGTGGTGTTAATCATGCGAAGAAACATTGCTTTATGTGAGCACCAACATCGACCTGTGCATCGATCTGTGCATTGGCTTTGTCTGTTAAGCATCAGCGCACTCTGATGCTAATGCTTTGTTTGATCTAGCAGTATGTTGTTCCTCTCTAGTAAATGCTTACCCCGAATCAGGCCAGAACATGTGTATTTAAGGGATTTCGAGGGAAGCCAAGACAAAGTTGACTATCGTCTGAATCACAGCTCTGTTCCACTGCATCTTATATCGGTCACATCTTGTGGTGTCCTGCAGGTACCGCCGTGTCGTGGCTCATAAATTCCTTCCTCTTTGCTCTATTCTGTGTCAACAGCTGCTTCCTTCTTCGTTGTTTATTCCGCCTCTTCCTGGAGCTCCCAAGGAAGCTGTGGATAAATTGTGGGCTTTAGGGAGTTTCACTGATGTAACCGGATATGTCTCCCTTGTTCTGGTACTATGACCCTCTGGATTTGACACTTGTTGTAAAAATAAGGGTGGAAATGTTGCCGAAATGTCACACAAAATTCTTTAAAACTTCAAGACATCTGCAACAACTTTTTCACCGTGAAAGCTTCGATCTACTGTTTAATAGATACTATCGCGGTTAATGGAAAAGCTACTTTCCGCATTTTAACCGGACGCCATACCGCGTGTCTGGTGTCTTAAAGAATGTGGACCCAGATGAATCTGCTGTAATGATTGAGATTACTGTCAAGTATAGAACCCAGTTATGGTCACAGAGACGATTTCTCGACCGGACCTGGGAGCATGGTAGGTACAAAAACAGTGTCAAATACCACGTGGGAGGCAAAAACATTACAACTCCGTGCACTGCATGGGGACGCGAAGCATGAGCACATAGAACGACGGTATCGTTTGATGGAAGGAAGTACATCTTTCGAGGTGCACAAGGGGGAAGAAACGGTAATTTCGCGCCGTGAGTAACGACACAACCTTACTGAACTACGATAGCCAATTTGAGAGGAGCGACCATGTGAATGCTCACTGGTCCAACTACCTCGTAGGTCTGAGAGGTAATGATGATTCCAAACAACCCCGAGAGAACACGCATTTCTCAGCAGTGGTACAAATGCAAACCCAAAGCATAACGATATTGGGAGTACCAACCACCTAATACACACCGCCAAAGTAACTTGTGACTGTCACATGTGGGTAAGACTGTATTTTCTCATTCATGAAATATAGTCCACCCAGCAAACGATAATTAGTTTAGCCACCAATTTATCCGTAAGTAGACCTCTCTTCCCAGGTTGTTAGGTGTTACAGAACAGCCGATAAACTTTTGGATCAAAATTGTTTTACGTACGACAGATCACAACAAGCATGCTTCAAGTCAAGTCAATTCAAAATAAGCTTAATGAACCCTAATGGGTTCATTTTCAGCATTTAAACCACCACGGCGGACACCTGGATGATCATTTCAGTATAAAAGCTTGAGGAGAAAATTGGGGAAATGCACAACTGTTATTCCAACAACCGCTCGCGCAATTGTTAATGACTTTTGCTGTGTCAATAAGCAAACGTGGAAGATTAGACAAAACAGTATTACGATACGATGGCGTGCGGGAGAATAAAGTTCGTAATTTCGAACGAGTAGAAGAGAAAGAGAGCGTTTTGGAAAGATCATTGTGAAATGGATGAAATCCATCAGTTAATACCATGGAAGAAAAATCATTGTAGACATCAAGATGTCTAGGAATGATCAAATCAACTAAAGAATCTTTAGACAAGCCATTGCATTTAGTAATGTGCTTCATAGATCACACCAATAAGATGTAGTCTTTCTGAAATAGTCTAGGGAAAATGACAGCAGTATAACCACTGGGGAGTACTGCAAGAGGTCACAAACCTTAATATTAAAATACGAGGTACTGAAAGCACCTTAATTCTGAGGGCATAAAAGGAAAGTTCTCTGACTTTTTGTAAACTTTCACAGAGTGCGTGGACCAAGAAAGGTTCTGGGACAACAAGACGCCGAGATACTTGACGGTGGAAGACCTGGGTGTGGGATTTTCATTCACAGTAAGAGTGGGAGAGTAATCTATGAGGGACTGCAACTTATCGCCACGGAGAAAAGAAAATATTACGTCCCTGCATTTAGGAGCATTAATCGTAAGAGATCTGGATGAAGACCATTCCACCAGATCTTCCAACTCACGTTGAAGTGATGATGAATCCTGGTTAGTGGGGGATGTACATCCTAGCACAACGTCATCAGCATAATTACACCTTATAAAAGTGTTATGTATAGGGAGACGTTCAACATACAAGGAAAATAAAAAAGGTGATAGGATCGCTCCCTGTAGAACACACAGTCGGCACGGAAGATAGAGGATTTCTTACCATTCAACTTGGTGAAGTGAGTACGATCTGTAAAATAGTCATGTAACAGAGCACACACACCAGGGTGAACTCCATTTTCGGAAAGCAGATTCAGCAACCTTGACGTATCAAGGCTTCCAAATGCATTCGAATAATCCAGGAAGAGAAGCCGTATGGATTTACATTTTTGATCTAATGCAGAGGCTATAGAATGAACAACATATGCCACTGCATCTAATGTGGAGCACTGAGGTCTATACGCAAACTGGTAGATATAGTTTTCAAGGGCGGCCGAAAAAAACCCACGGAATGAACAATCTTTCGAAAACTTTTAGGAGCACAGATGTACATGCAATTGGTCGATACCTTTGAGATCCAGATTTTGGTACTGGAGTGATACTGGCCGTTCTCCAAATGTCCGGGATCACACCCATAGTTAGGCATTTGTTAAAGAGGTCTGTTAGAGGTAGTGTGAGAGAAGTAGCACACTCCTTCAAAGCTAATGGTAAGAGAGCATCCGGACCACGAGCTTTGTTTGCCTTTAATCTTTTGAGTTTCTTGTTGACGTTGCTTTGATCGAAGGGTGCGGCTGGACTTGAGCTAATGAAGGAGGGCAAGGAAGCTGAGCTTAGTGAGGCGGAACTAAACTCCGAATTCAGTTTATCCGCATCCACTAGTTGTATAAAGTCGTAAGAACTCGAAAACTGGCAGATGTTAACATTTTGTATTGTCTCTTCAGTGCCAACAAAATAACATGAAACTATAAGACCGGAACAAGTTAGAACAGGCGTGACACCCGTACGCCCAAGGTAGCCGTAGACTTACGAACAGCTGTTTCTGCACACAGAGTGTGGGTTTGGTACGGGTGATCGCGACGGCTTCTGCGAAACGTAGGAAGCGGGGATTAGCATGTCTTAACACGATGGTAAACATTGTGACCGGATCAAACGGATGACAGGTGGCTAGTAAATGCCTATCTATGGATGAAGCAGGTGACCTAAGTGAACAAGTGTTATGAGCAACCGGCGAATAGGTGATTTGGTGCTGAAATGATTTAGATACATGTTCCCTTATTGTGGAGTTCAACGTACTATCAGTACGGCCGATGTAGCGGGCACCAGAACTACAGGTAAATACAGTGTGATTAAGTGAGATTCCTCGCAGCCAGTTTCCAAATCAGATAGTCGTCCACATGCCCGGAAAAGCACTATATTGCAGTTTCAGCCTGTTGGGCATCGTCAGTAGTGTGCATCCATCGGATCCATCAGGATTCGAACCCATGACCACCAGCGGCTTGCACCGGCAGTCAGCAGCTTATGCCACTGGGCCACGAGGGACAGCTTCGGACCGTCATGATTTACAAGCTAACTGCGGTATAGCGCAGTCATGGGTTCGAATCCTGATGGATCCGATGGATGCACACTACTGACGACGCCCAACTGGTTGAAACTGCAGCCTAGTGCTTTTCCGGGCATGTGGACGACTATCTGATTTGGAAACTGGCTGCGAAGAATCTCACTTAATTACATCAAAAATCCCATACTCATCAGTACATCTAAATATACAATGTGAGTTGGCGCTGACAGGTTGTCTTTCCATCGGTAGTTTAACAGGTATTCAATTAGCCTGATTTCTAAGAACAGTTTCAGCAGCATAATAAGTCCTCTGGACTGCGGAAATTATGCGCTTCCTTGTCCTTATACCGATCCGGCCACAATGTTTGCAATCCTGTTAAGGCATGCTAACCCACGCTTCCTAGGTTTCGCAGAGGCCGTCGCGATCAGCCATATCAAACCCACGCACTGTGTGCAGAAACAGCTGTTCGTAAGCCCTCGGCTGCCCTGGGCGTAGTGGTATCACGCCTGTCCTCCACCCATTTCTAATTTGTTCCGATCTCATTCGACTTGTTGTTGTGAAACACGCACTCATTACGTCTGCTTCTTATGATTATTGCAACAGAAATCTGGTCGACGAGGAGGTTTGGCGTTTCTTGCTCACCGGTGGTGTTGCGCTGGACAATCCCCATCCGAATCCTGCTCCGAACTGGTTGTCGGAGAAGTCATGGGCTGAAATAGTCCGAGCATCGAACTTGACAGAGTTGCAAGACTTCATGGACGGTAAGTGGCACAAAACAATGTGGGGGGAATACGTAAGATAATCTGCTATCGAGATGGTTCAGCATAGCAGTTTGCACTGCTTCTCTACCCTCACTACAGCTGTCAAATCGAATCCCGATTCATGGAAACAGATGTACGATAGCACAGAACCTCACAGATTTGTCGCTCCTGGAAAGTTCAGTGGCTTGAAAGGTTTGGAGAAATTGGTTGTCCTACGATGCATTCGACCGGATAAAGTGGTTCCCGGAATTCAGGTAAGTCATTCGAGTGAGATAGATGATTAGTTGTGGCAGCGCCACCTAGACCAATAACTTCAATGAACAATGACTTCATACGGATTAAGAAGTGTTGCTTTACAGGCCTCAATGGGAGTCTGCTGGAGTTATTAAAGACACTAATAAGAATCGAAGCATGACATGTTGTTTTACTTGTTCGCGACCCAGTTTTTCTTCTCCTCTCCATAACACAGCACTAGTAGATGACGGTTAGTGAATCCAAGCTTTCCGCAGGCTAGGAACGGAGCGATAATATTAAGTGGCGAAATGTCGGCGGCTGAGTGCGGTATAAAATCACTTTTCAAGTATGGTTAATGTCGGTGCGGACGCTACCGATTCAGAGAGTACTTTCCATGGGAGACATGCACTAGCTGAAAAAAGTTGTTGCAGTATTCCAAGTGGCCATACTTTTATGCCATCTTCAGTGAATGATATCTCTGGTTGGTGTTACTGTTGAGCTCCACTAAAGAGTGGCACATTTGAGTTGGATGGTGCAGGATCAGTAGGCCATTATCAAGTCACCTCGCAACCGACGGTACCGTCCACTGACTGCTCCCAAGTGTTTCAGCCGCTGTTCGGATGAAAGCGACGCACGTGGAAGCTCAACATTGAGGCTACTCCAGTGTAGTGATATCGTGCTTCACTGATGGTTGTTACGTTTAAACTGTGTATTCGGCGTGAGGAGGAACACAACCGCCAGACATCTGCTCGATGTGGTGATTATCTGGTTTTGATGACTTTTCGCATTGCTCGGGACAGCTTAAGCCATCCTAAATCAGTAGCGAAATTGAGCAAAAGGCCCTCGAACTTTTGCTATATGTTTGGTGATCTCATAGTAGATCCCACAGGCGCTAATATGACTGTTTAGGTACTTAAATTACTGACCGACTCCTAGTTGCTCCTCAGCAATGGTCAACACAGGACGGGGTCCCTACCAGTCTTGGACAAGTCGTTTGCATTTCGATTGGCACTCAGTGCTAATTGGCCCACTGCTGTTTGGCACATTTGCGAGAAGTCATCGATTAGGGTAATGTCGCCTTGTACTCCAAGTAAACTAGTCACTCACCTAGAAAAAGCTCCCTACCTTGTAGGCCGTGCTCAGTGAACATAGTTTCTATGACTTCGTCAGCGGCTAAGTTAAAGAGTAAAGGTGATAGAGGACAACATTGTCGCACATCACTGGAGATATTGAAGGGCGTTGACACTTTGTCATGAACTCTGCCCAAACTAAACGCACAAAGCGTTCTTATGGAGTCTACATATTTACAGTGGAAACCTTTGTTGAACAGACATGAGAATACTGCAAGCAAACTGGTGAAAGCTCGATATTTGTCCATGGCGTCCCCGAACTACGGTCATCCGACGAGTCGCAAGCCCAAGCTCATGAGTTAGAAGACTGACGGTACATCCGCGAAGCCCTCTCTCTTTCTCTCCATGATGTGATTGCCAACGCAACGTTAAGGTTGTCCATATCACCCAAATATCAAGGAACTAGTCCAAGGGTGTTGAAAGCCATACGCTACTCCGAACAAATGAAGGAGTGCTCGGAAGTTGGTGCAAGTTACGTACCAAACTGCCATCAGAGATACGTCTGAAGGCGGTTGAAGCCAGGCCACTACTGGCTAAGGGAACAAAAAAACCAGCGAGGTTGTCGCGAGCCCAGCTATCTGCATTTTCGAACAGGAACGCAGTGAAACGCCGCAGCTGTCCGGAAAAGCCAGAACAGACAAGCTATTGCAAATCAACTCCAAAGAACCAGATAATTGGGGCTCTGTACAACAGACCGAAACCCGTCCTGGGATTAACAACAAATATATCCAAAAAACGAGTGTCAGCCGGCCCCACAAGCGTCGGCATAGATTTACGGGAAACTTTTGTGTGTTCAGCTACGCTTCTGGAATTCGTCGTTCTCAGTTGTTTGCATACAAAAGCCCAAGGTCTTCTCAGTAAATTAACCAAATTTCCATCTCATCAAACTCAATGTGTTGGGATCTTATCATGATAACCGAGACATGGATGAACGGAATGAGTACCGATGTCAGGATTTCACAACCCAGTATGTCCATCCCGCACGAAAACCGACCCACAAAGGGAGGCAGTGTAAGCCTCTACTACCGTTTCGAGCTCCCTGTCGGCTGGTGGCCGAGTGGTCTGCGCATCTGGTTTGCAACTATAAGGTCCCCGGTTAAAATTCGCGAATGGGTCTCCTCATGGCATATTCAGCGATTAGTGGTGGTCGCGTGGCAGCGAAACGCCGTTACGGCGTACAGCTGGCGATTTGTTCTTTCATTCTCATCGACCGCGAAAACGACCGTAGGATTCAAACCGTGGACGCCTTATGGTGCTGCCTACACCTAAGGCAGGGCGATATATGAGTAATAGCCATTGTACACCAGACCCTATCTTCCGCTATGAAGAAGCTACTGGAACGATCCTACAGCCACGTTCTCCTGACAGGGGACTTCAATCTGCACAGCCTAGAAACCCCGACCACTCTGCGTGGACAATTCAGGGCGGATCTGAAAAATCTAATCGTTGGTTCTCCGCTGTGCAGCCATGTCGCCTCCAACGCGTTTCAAGACTGCAGACAAACCGGCCATCTTGGACCTCGTTTCTACAAACTAGGAGCTGATGATCGACGTAGTAACGACGTGCACTCCTTTAGGCCGCAGCAATCATGCGACACTAGTGTTTCAATACCTGTGCTATGCAGAGTATCCTAAAGAAAGTAATGAGGATCTTACGTCATAACCAACTATGATAACCTGTCCGAATTCATTAGTGCAACAAGCTGGTCTTTCCTAGCCGAATGATCCCCTGAAGTTGCCTGCGAGGAATTTGAACAATGAAAAGAAAAGACGAATATTGGCAGATGCTATCATTTCGTATTATCGCGTCAGTAAAAATACAATAACAGGAAAATGTTTTATACGTCTTATTGGGTACACCCCGGCCAAACAACTTTATGGTTTTGGTCGTCGTTGTTGACGTTAGGACCACGGCAACCGCACTTTGACAACTAATGGCTTTTGGACACAAAGCTGGTCAAAGTCGGCTTATCGCGACGGCCTCGGCAAATCACAAAAGGCGTGAATTTGTATGACGCAACAACATTCGGAACGCCGATAAGAGATTAATCCGGTGACGAGTCGCCAAGATGTGCCTGCCTGTGGAGGACGCCGATGGCTTACGCGAGTACGTATCGTCGGAGGTGGATTGAGTAACTTCGCGCTGTACCCAATTCCGTTAAGTGTTACTTCACTCTGGAATCTAAAGCCCGTTCGGTTCTGCCGATATAACTGATGCCGCAGTCACACACGAATTGGTAAACGTAATGTGATTTGGCACTGACAGGTTCATGTTCCTTTAATGAAGCTAGCGGTAACTTTCGGGTTCTGTTGATTAGTACCGCCTCCGCAGCCCATTACATGCGTTGGATAGACGAGACTATGCGTTTAGTTGTAATTCTTGCTGAGGCGTTACCCTTGAATGGTAGCTCGATGTACATCTTTTACTTTGGGACTGTCAACATCATTTCTTTGAGCGGTCTAACTTGGCTATGAATCGCTTTGGATAGCCATTCTCCATAAGGGTTTTAGTGATCAGCTCAAACTACGGAGAAAGGCAGTTGTTGGAGCAGATACGTCTGGCTCGAGTGAATAATCTTTTTGCCATTGGTGAGAACCTAGTGAAGTGTAGGTATTGGCCGGATCATGTCGGCTTCCGGTATACAGATCGCTTGCACCTGTGGTACAAGATACCTCGGGCACACAACCAGGCGTTTGTCAAAACGGGTAGCAGAGCACTGCCCAGACTCGTTAAGAAGAGGCATGGGCAGAAACATAAACAGTGTTAGCATGGAACACCTTATCCTAAACGGATACGAAATTCAAACATCGAATGCGTTTAAGATCTACTTTGTCTCACCATACCATCCGAAGGCTCTCAGAAGGCGTTTCTTGCAGATAGCTGAAGCAGTTTCCATCAGACTGACCCAGCCCGAGCTTTGCAAGCAGCGATCCCTTGTACAAGTGCTTCTCCTATCCTGGCCACGCGGCGATTACTTGGGATCAGACACTAACTGCTTACTATCGGCTGCGGGGCCTACCCTAGGCGGCGTACAATTGGTTGCGAGATCTACCTTAAGTGAATCGAGCTAGGCATCGATCTACTTACTGACTCGTTTCAACTCTTGACCTAGCTGTCCACAGCGTAGCTGACAACAGCTTACCATGTTGTATGTTTTTCTTATTACTGTAATGGCCTGATGAGAATAATCGACAAGGGATCTCTTCGATATTTGGACTTCTTATCAGACCATTGTCCCCGCGACTCATGAGAATCTCGAGATACGGAAGACGCCTATTTGATTCGAATTGAAAAGTCACCTTCAGGTTGACGTGAGCACTATTAAGTTGGTGTTGCTAATGGTTCGGTTTGAAACCTCCTGGAACCAAAAACAAGGATACCATATATACATCGTTTTACTATGGCAAATGAGAAATCTCTCTACTTAGTTTCCTTCCAAGCATCAGCATGGAAAAGTCAGCCAGTACCGGGTCCAACCGACTACCCATAGCCACTCCATCAGTTTTGCGATATGAGGTGTGCTGGAATCGGAAAGTGACCTTCTCCGTGCAAAGTAACGAACTGTCTCAGGAGCTCTGCCGGTATGGATAGACGGAAATTCTCCTCTTCTATCTGGTGGCAAATGTAGTCAATTGTCTCTAGCAAAGGAACATTAGTACATAACTACTGGACTTCCACTGAGCACATAACCTTGTCGGCTAGGCTGATTTGGTCTAGGCCTCCGATTATTTAAAAAAAGTCGTTAATGCTGTGCAAACTTGAGTGCTGCCTCAGCGACGCAAGGATCGGAGCTAACCACCGAGCCAATTTGTGCCGCGCAAAATTTACCATCGATAAAATGGCTTAGTGACATGCCCTGCTTGTGTTTTTGGTCACCCGTACAGCTGTCG